AAACTTCTATTTTTTCGAACCATCTAATGTTAGTCAACTTTTTATTGAATTGTCGGCATACAACGCAATGTCTAAAGGGTTTGCCAGCCCGTAGTCCCAACAAAACGTCCCAAGTAAAGAAGCGACTGTTCTGGGATTAAATTGCTAGAGACAGCATTTTTAAAAGCAAGTCAAGTGAAACTTACTTAAAAGGGATTCGGAACTATATCGTCGGTAAACATCAAAGCTTTAATTGCGAAAAATTTTGTGAACCAAAATGAATTAACATGCACGCTGCAATATGCGTTTTAGATTTGAACAGAATTGACCTTGCCGATAGTCTAGACTTTGTTTTGAACTGGAAAACGAAGCCGACCGACATGATTCAAATTAGTTACCAAAACTGATAAGATTTTTCCGAAACTGAACTTGATCTTGAAACCATTCCTGCCAAAATAATATTAATTGGCTGAATTTAAATGAAACATGGAATGAGAACTGGTTGTGACCAAAAAGTTGATCTAATCGGATCATTTTAAAAGAAATACCGATCATTTTAACTAAAACTTCTATTTTTTCGAACCATCTAATGTTAGTCAACTTTTTTTTGAATTGTCGGCATACAACGCAATGTCTAAAGGGTTTACCAGCCCGTAGTCCCAACAAAACATTCCAAGTAAAGAAGCGACTGTTCTGGGATTAAATTGCTAGAGACAGCATTTTGAAAAACGAGTCAAGTCAATGCGTTTTTTCACGTCTCCGGGAGGCTTCAAGGAGACGTCTTCTCTCAAAAAAGTTAGTTGACAAACAAAGTTTCAAACTGAAAAAATATACAAGGAACTAATATTTAACCCAAGTTCGCCATAGCGCGAAAGAAATGCAAATACGTTTTTTCTTCGTAAACATGCATACTATTCTGCACTTTTTCTTTGAGCACCCGGTACTTTCTTTTTTGTACATTGGTGCTCACTCGAGGCGTTATAGAAATCAAGTTTTTGGACTGAAGCAACTTTTTGCAAATTTACAATAACTTTCCACATACTGCTGTTGCGCGGCATTTATGAATGATGTATTTCGAGCAGTTCCGATTTGTAGTTGTCTTGTTTTTGCGTTTAAGGCAATACTCATGGCCTGACACCACTAGTATTTGTTAGTCTTTTGAAGATAAAGCAAAATGAAAAGACGCTTCAAACATTTTATCTGTTTGAGTGGAATAACAATGGTTAAAGAAATAGGCAGTATAATTTTTTTTTAAACTTACAAACGTCTTTTGTTGCCTTGAATTAGCCCCATGTAGGTTATCTCTGTTTTAAACGCGTGAATGAGGGATTATTTCTTAAGCTAAACGATATGCAATTAGTTATGAGCGACAAATGCAAGAAGTGAATTAAGAATGGCTTCTCTGGCCTCAATTAGTACACCTAATTGCAATACTAGTATGAGTGTAAAAGGACTTAATAAAAGGAGTTAATTTGAAACAAATTTTTGGTTTTAAAAGGGTTAATTATTGTGGGGTCATCTCGTTACGGGGTTATAAAGTAGGGGGTGTAAACATAGGGGGTTAAATACAAATAGGCAGTCGAAGTCAAGTTAAAAGAGGCTGCTCCAAACTCCACAAGGAGCATTTGAACCGAAAAAAAACGAGCACTTTTCAAATAAAATACGATGATGAAAAACTGTAACATACTTACTAGCGGGGCAAAACAACAAAGGAGTTCAACAAAAACTTCAACGAAGCATGTCCAAAAGTACGTAACATTTGTAAGGAACGCCTTCTATGAAGCCACCCTACCCCGAAAAAAACGAAGCCAGAGCCTGATCAATTTTAAAATTTAACCAAAAATTTGTAGGGATCAGAATAATAGGTAGCAAATCCAGCAGCATAACGACCGAGCTCTAATTATCTGAAAATCAACCGAAATGTAGAGCCCACATAGTGTCCACGAGTGCTTTACAAACAGTGAACGAAAGGTGGTATACCCAATTCGGAAACTTGATCGACAGAAAGTCGTCAACCATAAAGCAGAAAACTTGTGATACAAACATAGCATAATAACCTGAATCGTTACAAAAGTAGGAAACTAAGGGCAACGGAAACTAAGACGGAAAAAAAAGACAGACGACAGCCAACCAGAACAATTCTAGTTTGAAAAAAAAAACTTTTTTTTTGTCTCAAGCAAATGGTTTACTTTTCTACGCCAGATGAGCTGGATAATTGATTTTGTGAACAAAGTAGTTTACGGAAAAAAATCTGGTAACCGGTTGCAACACCGTTGCATATCGCAAGGGTTCAACTTGAAACCTAACTTAGTCCACACAAATAGGCTGTCGAAGTCAAGTGAAAAGAGGCTGTTCCAAACTTAACAAGGAGCACTTTAACCGAGAAAAAAGCATTTTTCAAAAAAATAAACGAGGATGAAAGATTACAACATACTAACAAGCGGGGCAAAATAAAAAAAGGAGGTCATTGAACAAGTCAGTAACACTTGCAAGAAACGACTGCTATGAAGTAAGCACCTAACTTACAACGCAGGTGATGGGGTCAAAGACCCAAGGCAAGTTTTTGAAAAGAATTGAAGGGAAGATAATTATATTATCTCGAAAACCATACCAACACTTGAATTAAAGACCATACATTCCCGACGGCTCAGAAACAAGCAACAATTGAGGATCGGAAAATATTCTCAAGATGCTTAGAAACACTTACCCATTCAATTCCATCAGGGCACAGCAGTCGCAGTCATACTTTTGCTTCATCTGAAAAAAAAATCAAGGTGAAATTTCTTTTGAAATGATCACTTTCCTGTGTTTCTTCCAGTTTTTTATCTGTAACAGTCGCCTACTTAAGTCACATATGAGGCTAAGAAAAATAGGCCCTATAACCATTGGCTCAAGAGTCAGGGACACTATCTCTTGTAAAAAAATTTGCTAAAAAAAAATTTTCAAACGTTTTCGCAACTATGTGCATCGTCAGGATTTTTACAAAAAACTAATCTAAATGACGATAAAACATCAATTTACAAATAGTATTTACAATAAATCACATACAATTTGGTTCTAAACCATCATGATAAAAAAATTAGCCAATCACAGTTGACCTCTAAATTACTATTAAGATTAAAATACTTTTAACCTCTAAAATTAATTAAAGATTTTAAAATTAAGTTTCTGAGTCATAATTTTGGTTTAGACATGTACGTTTTAAATACAAAAACCAAAAATGTTTTGGGACTAAATTTTCAGTGTTAACTCCCTGCTCCTAAACTCATCGCGCGTGTTCAAGCCCGGTTTCTCTTTCCTGATATGTATTGCCTCTGGTATTAGCAATTTTGTTTGGTTGTTTGACCTATCTATAATTTCCCAACTAAGACCTGCGCTATTTCCCTCAAAATGCCATTGCTGAAGGTGGAGGCCTACCGGTGAGTCTCCTTTCTTATGTTCCTCAATTCTAGTGGTCAAGTGTCGAACAGTTTGTCCGACATACGTGGAAGTGCATGTGACATTCGAACAGATTTGACAAAAAGACAGTTTCGGATGGTTAGCCGCTAACCCGGAGAATTGGCAGTTTTCGAGGATTAGCAGTGTTATTTAGACGATTAGATGAATCGTGAAGGCTGGAAGATTCTGGAAGTTCTAAATTTCAAAATTTTGATTTGTCACGTCACATTTCCGAGAAACGTTGAAAACGGCCATTTTAGAAGAAATTAAAAAAGAGGACACAACAACAACGGCGGTTACAACAACAACAACGATAGTTGCGAGAGAAACTACGACGGTAAATAGAAAATACGACAGAGTGTTAGCAAAGACTGCTCCGAATTGTAACAATTGTGTCGCTACAATTGTTACAAAGCAATTCACACCAACGGTGAAGATTGGTGGAACCGTGAATCCGGAGGGGTCTTGAGGCTTGAACTTAAACCATTTCAAACGTACTTTTAGCTTCCTAGTCATGCCTTGAATTGAATTTAAATAACATCTCGAATCATTTTCTGATTATGAGAAGCTAGGAGTTGAGGGAAAGTTCGATGGAGATGATGATTTTCATCTACTGAACAAAAACAATAGTAAGATAATAAGTAGTAGTAGCCCTGTTTTTAGGAGTGACCTCATGGTCTGAAGATACTGAGATCCAGCCATGAGCTCACTATTTTGCATGTAAGTAAGTTAATTTGCCGGAGAACAGTAACGCTTTTGTCGACTCGATGTTGAAAAGACCACCAAAAGAACTGGCTTTGGTAGAGACGGTTATAAACATGTAGAGCTTTGTTTAGACGCTGGCCAGTCGTTTTATAGCTTAGCTATATTTTCCGTCGATATGTACTTCCGTGCGAATGTTACATAGATGTTTTTATGGTGCTCCTGGATGTTATTCTTTTTTAACATCATGACCGGCAGAACCGTTAACGAACATTCCGCGCCGGGCGCATGCTCATAATAACGCCATTAATAGGCCCTAACAGCCAGGGCGGAAGGCTAGTTCGGAACGCGGAAGCCTTCCGGATTCCCGTGAATAGCTTTTTAACCTAGTTAAGACCGAAAATTCACGTTCCAGGAAGGGTGGGGGATTGGACGTCCCCTCGTTCCCTGAGAAGTTTGTGACCAAAATCACTCAACGATATGCAAGAAACCAAACCAAAAGTAGTAGATTATAAAAAAAAAAACCTAAAAAATAACCGAAGAAACCAAAAACAGTAAAAAAAGTATAAAATGAAAAGAAATCATCCCCCCAGACGAGATGTGAGCCGACCCTCCCGTTTGTTATTGTTAGATATATTGTTGTTACAGGCATTTATATCAGTCAGGATTGTTACGATCAATTTGCGGCCCGTTTGTGAGGCTTGTACTGTAGGGTTATTTGAGTATTTAAGCACGTTAATGCTAAATTGCGCTCAATCCGGAAGGGTCTCGGGATTAGTGAAGAAGACTGATCCGGCAAGCAGTTCAAGGAGCGACAAGAAAGGGCTCAACGACAACAACAATTGACTGTCGGGTATAGTTAACAAGTTTTGTATCCTTTTTGTGATAAACTTATTAAATAGTTTCAGATAGTTGAAATGTTTACCGGGGTAGCAATGGTTGCCCCGCGATGAAATTGTCCGACAGAAGATATCACTTGCTCAAGACATCATCTTCAAAAAATCTCCTGATTGCGGATTCTCAAGCACGCCATCTTGATTTTCCAAATTTCAATATCTTGTCCCTACCTGGGGCCCGAATTGGTGCGGTCCAAAACTTCTTACCCGAGAAAGACAAATTCAACATCATCGCTCTGCTCATCGGCGGAAACGACGCCTTCAACGGAAAAGACCCCTCCAGTATACCTGCAGGCGACATTGCTGAAGAACTGTCGAAGCTAGCCGAGGAGCTGTGTGAACGAGCCAAAAAAGTTTTCGTCATCGGAATCCCTCATCGTAGTGAGAACCGAGCTCGATCTGCAAAAATAAACGAATTCCTAAGAAAGATAAAAGGAACTTGGAAGTTTAGAGGAGTGAGTGAAAAAATCCACAGCTCATATCATTTGAAAACTGACGAAGTGCACCTCAGTGAAGAAGGTCTGAAGGGCATTAAAAGTATTCTCAAGAATAAAATCTTATACGATAAACATTCGAACATCTGCAATACAGAAGGACATCTGGTATATTACGAGTGTCGTTTCAAGAACTGTCAGTGCCCCTATTAACGTAAGTAGAAATAGTGAACCGCAGGCCTCCCCTTTTCGGGAACCACCAGGTTTGTCTATTTCTTCTTTTCCCCTGAGTGAGCCACAGGCCTCCCCTTTTCGGGAACCACCAGGCTTAACTGTTTTTATATCCATAGTATAAGCAAAAATGGGCAAAAACTGCAAAACATGTAAAAGAGGCTTTGCCAGCAACGAGAAAACATACACTTGTGTCGCATGCAACGCTCAAATGCATTTGGAACCAACTTGTGTTGGGTTGTCTCTAGTGGCCATAAATGGAATAAAAGAACTAGGGCCGAATGTCATGTTGCTTTGTAATACTTGTGTGCAAAATAATGAACGAGACAACTTTATAAGATGCAAAACCCTGGCCAACATAGACGAGAAGCTCTCAAACATTGATGTAACTGAAAGCCTTAAAAGCATGGAAAGAAGACTTACCGATTTAGTAGATCAAAAAATTGGAAATGCAATGAAAACGACATGCGATAAAGTGGAAAAAACTTATAGTGCCGTTGTAGCTGCTGAAACCACCACCCGGATAAATCAAGCTCAAACCACTCAACATGCTGCCAGATCTAACTCTGATCACAACATAAATCAAAGTTTTAGGATACAAGGGGTCAAAGAGGACCCTGAGAAAACAAAAGGAGAAAACCTTGTCCCAACAAATGACGAAGTAAACGAAATACTAGACATAATTGGAGTGAAGCCGAAAATAATAGAACTAAAACGACTGGGAAAATTTGATCGTAATCGAATGAAGCCAAGAACACTGCTGGTAACTGTACCTAGCGAACATGAAGCACGACTAGTACTAGCAAAAAGCCGAGAAAAGCGAGAACAATTGGTCGAAAAAGAGGTCTACCTGCTACCAGCATTGACCAAAGAGAGTGCAATTAAAGAGAACGAAATCCTTAAGAAACGAAGACAACTACTAGATGAAGGCGTTCCTCGCGAAAAGCTGAAAATAAGGAATCTAGAATTGTTCAATGATGGTGTGAAAGTAACTATTGACACTGAAGTTCAGGAACCCCAGCATTGACTAGGATTCCTCAACATTCTGCAACTAAATACTAGAAGCCTAATCAACATAGAGAGAAGAACTAAGCTAGCAAATGCAATTGCAGTTGGAAATTTTAATGTCATATGCTTAAGCGAAACTTGGCTTAACGAGAATATTCAATCATCAGAGCTTTTTCTAAGTGAATATAACATCTATAGATCTGATAGAGCTATTGTGAGTGGTAAAAACTGTCACGGAGGCAGCCTAATAGCTGTCAAGAATAGTCTAATTACCGAGGACTTATCCACCAAACATGACATTCCTGATTCATGTGTGCTATGTAGTATAAAACTTCATCAAACTGAAATGATAATTGGCTCATTCTACAATCCGCCAAAAAACAGTAATTACAGATACAAAGTGCATGAATTTGAACAACTGATCAAAGCCATTCCTAAAAACAAACCGTTTCTCTTATGTGGGGATTTAAATTTCCCAGAAACAAACTGGAACACCCTCACCAGTACTGACGAGGAAGAAAACCAAATACTGCAAATTTTTGAAAATGGACTCTTTAGGCAGGCGATAGATTTCCCAACATGTGTGAAGAACATACTAGACGTAGCCTTCTATCGGAATTGCTATACAAGTGCCGAACAAGATTTTAACGTTTCCAAGATTTATGACTGCTCAGATCACAATGCCATAATGTTGTCTATTGAATGCACGGTATCAGAGCCGAAACCATACTTGGAAAATTTTAGAAGTTTTGGAAATGCCGATTTTGAAGGAATAAACAATTTTATAAACGAGAACCCATTTGAACCAGTATGCCACACAAACATTAACAAAATGCATGAGGAGTACACCCAATATTTGGATGAAATCATTAAGAGTTTTGTGCCTCTCAGAACAAGACATAGGCAATCACTTCCACCTTGGATAACAAGTAGCACTTCAAATTTGATCAAAAAGTTACAAACAAAACGGCAATCATGTATACTCAAACCGACCAACTACAGAAGACAACAAGTTAAACTGTTTGAAAATTTAGTAACTGAATCATCGGAAGTGGACAGGAAAAACTACCAAGAGGAATTGTTTAGAACACGGAACACTAATGTAATTTTTAAACACCTAAAGAACTTGAATAAACATACAAGTCTTCCTAAGTTACTCATAAAAGATGAAGTTGAAAGCACAAATCCAAACGAACAAGTCAACATGCTAAACGACTTCTTTCATTCAGTTTTTAATCCTAAAGAAAGTTTTAGTATTAGAGATATTCAATTTGGAAATCCCTTGTTAACGAATTTTGATATATCGAAAAAGACAGTAAGTGAGATTTTATCAACTCTGGACGTAACAAAGTCACGCGGCCCAAATGGGTTGCCACCTAGCTTTTTTCAGAAAACGAACCGCAATATATGCAAACCGATGAACAAAATTTTGAGAAACGTAAAACGCCTACGAAAAATACCTGATTCATGGAAAACAGCTGCAGTTACTCCTGTTCACAAAAAAGGTGACCGAAAATTGGTGAACAACTATCGACCAGTATCGCTATTAAATATTGACAGCAAAGTCCTTGAAAAATGTATATACAAAGACCTGTACCCTTACTTTGCCTGGTATTTGACGAAACATCAACACGGTTTTACTAAAGGTAGATCAGTTTTGACAAACATGCTCTCCTTCCTGAAAGAAATATATGAAGCGCTTGACAATGACTCAAACGCAGAAATTGTAGCAGTCTACACTGACTTTGCAAAAGCCTTTGATAAAGTTCCGCATTTTGATCTACTCAAGAAAGTTGCACTTATAGGAATAGGAGGCTGCATGTTAGAGGTACTCTATGACTATTTGAAAAACAGGAAACAGTTTGTACGAGTAGACAATATCAGCTCAAAAGTTTTAGAAGTCACTAGTGGTGTTCCCCAAGGATCACTTTTAGGACCACTGCTCTTTTGCATTTTTATTAACGACCTACCTGAAGTACTCAAATTCTCTGAACCATATATTTTTGCGGATGATCTTAAACTACTTTCCATCAAAAAAACATCAATTGAAATTCAAGAAGATCTGGACAAAATTCAGCAGTGGGTAACTGAAAACAAAATGGAATTAGCACTAGATAAATGTGCAAAAGTAAGTTTTAGGGGCGGAGACGCCAACTCTATGCTTTTTGGTGTAGTGCTTGGAACATCGATGGTTGTGAAAGATCTGGGAATTTTTGTGTCGGGCGATTTAAGTTGGAAGGTACACATTGAAACAAGATTAAAGAAGGCAAACCAAGTACTGTACCTCCTGAGAAGAAACCTATCAGCAAAGATAAATACGTTTGTAAAGTTAGGCCTGTATAAGTCACTAATACTCCCAGTGTTATTATACGGACTCTCATGTACACATATATCGAAGGGGGATCAATTGCAGTTGGAGCGATTTCAAAAGAAAGCAATCCGGTGGATCACTGGAAATAAAACGGGAGTGTACATCAACGAACTACGCTTGCTAAACATTTTACCCCTGCCCATGTTCATCCAGCTAAATAACATCTTACTTCTTGCCAGTCTTGATTCTAATGAACGAAATGAAATAGTGTTAAACAGGCGAACCACACGGGCTAGAAATATAGAAATTTTTGAGATGCGAAAAGTGAGAACGGAAAAAGCGAGAAACGAATTTGTTTTCAGAACCAGTAGGATTGTAAATCGATTAGAACCATATATTCATTTTGATAAACGAATCGGCCTCAAGACGAGAATTTTAAACACGATGTGGAAATTTGTAAACGAGAGATTTTCAGAAATGACAACGTGCACGTGGCAATTATTCTGTGATTGTATCACGTGCAGAAACAAGTGGACATTGTTTTAGAGAAGACGACGGGACCAAGACTCCCAACAGCAGTGCTGTGAATCCCCAACAACAACAACAACAACAACAACAACAACAAAAAGTAAGATATTAATCTGGGGGGCTCGACAGTGCTGCACTGTAGTGACCCTTCAACGAACTGCAAAATTCCCAGTTAAGCACCTTAATTCGGATATTGAACAAACCCGGAGGGGTATACTATTACTAAAAATATTATTTATACAGCCTATATTAATACTCCTATATCGTTTTTCAGTGAAAAACAGAGTAAAAGGACCGGTTTTTAGGGTCAAAATAGCGATATTTTGAGATATCGATATTTTTTGAAACGGAAAAAAATGCTAAATTAGTGAATTACATCTTAATTGTTTTTAGTATAATAAGTAGAACCGGTTGAGTTTAGTTCAGAAGTGTTTGGAACTATTTGGGTGCCAAAAACCGAGTTTTCGCAATTTTTGAATAAACGAAACGCTT